GGGTAGTGGGCCGGCTGCTGGTGCTGGTGCTGGTGGTGCCATTCGTCGGTGGCATCGTAGAGCGGCTGGGTCGGCATGCGCTGCTGCTGCTGGAGCGGGTGGCTCGGCACGGGCGAGTGGATTGCTGCTGTGGGCGCGGGGGTGGCACGTAGACGGCCTTGAGGTCGGAGTGGTACTGGGGCGGGTAGGCGGGGTGGGAGCGGGGGACGTGGTAGACGTGCTGCTGCTGCTTCTTCGCCTCGGGCCACATCGCGGGGTCGAACTCGTACGGGTGGGGGAGGTCGGCGTTGTAGATGGCGATCTGGGCCGACGCGTAGAGCGCATAGTCGTCGTCGGCGGGCTGGTCGGAGACGGGGCTGGGGTCGGTCTGGTACGACGCGGACGACGCGTTCGAGTAGGGGGAGTTCAAGTCGTAGGGATAGACTGGGCTGAGTGGAGACTGCATTGTTAGCGGGCGTGCATTCGGCGTGCGGGATAACTGGCGCGGGGGTTAAGTACGGTCAATGCTCGATCGATCTGCCTTGCCAGGAACGTAACCGCCGATCCAGATCTCAGATCAATATCCGCTTTCCTGGGCCGTGCCTCCCCGATCCGGTCTGCCCGCCACCCATTGGCCCGGCCAATCTTATTTCCACTTGCAGCTGATCTCTGCCCTCCATTACCCACCCCACCCACCTCGGCACCGCGAACACCCAGCTAAGCCAAGCGCCCGCCCCCCGCCATCCGCCCACCGCCGTAACCGTTTTTTCCGAATATCGAATTCGCCCACCGCTATCGCTCCATACCTATCAGTCCACTATGCCCGCGAAAGGAAGCCCTAGGAAGCCCGCCCCCCGCCTACTTGCGCTCCCCTACCGCGTGCCCTATCGCCATATTCGTCCTCAGCGATGCCATATTGCAAATCAGGCCCTCAGATGATCTGCGGTCGTCTCAAGCGCCTTTCTTCCCTCGAAGCGACTTTACTTATCGGCTGTCCGACGACGGCGGGTCATGCGCGTCCGCTTACTTGCTTACTTGCCTTGCCTTCTCTCGTTTGTCAGGAAGCCTATCGTGTATCGTATTGTGTATCAACGACATTGCCAATGCCATACACCCTCGAGCGCGTGTACCCAGGTGCACTTCCCCTTCCCTCGCGTGTATCAAACGTGTGCCCCCGCCAAAATCCCGCCTTTGCCTTCCTAAGCTTCTCGCACCGCATTCGTCTTGTTCGTCCCCACATACCGTCTCTTACCGTCCCTTCCCATCTCCCACCTTCTTTACCGTCCCCCACCTTCTTTCACCTCGCACCGTACCGTCCTACCGTAGCCCACCGTAGCCCACCGTTTACAAATCCAGACGCTTACCCATCCAGCCCCCCTCCGGCTTCCTTTCCCTGTGAATCGATATCTCCTTCTACTGAACCCGTGGGCCGTTAGCATTCGAAATCGGGATCTCGAAGCGAAGCTTCCTTGTCAAAAAGATCTAGCAGCCAACAGGCCTTCGAATTCCCTTTGCCTTTGTTCGTCCCTAGGCCTTGGTTAACCTTGTTGATGTGGCGACCCCCACGCCAGTCGAAGATGTGCTACTGTATCGATACTGCTATCGACCCGAGGACTTCCGGGTCCCGACTCAATTTTGAATGAATGAACTGGAGAAGAACTGGGGAGGAATTCGAAGGAGCTCTGCAGCCAGTGAGCGCTCGCAGGGCAACGACTCGAGGTCGGGGCGCCTTTGCCTGCCTAGTAGCCTTGGCCTGTTATCCTGTCCTGTCCTTCCCCCACCCTTCCCTTTCAGTCGACGACAACGACTCCAGCTTAGGCTTAGCCTGAACTCGTCACTCGCGAGCCTCGAGGCGTCCTTCGAAATTTCCTTTTGCGTACTCCCCTTCCACTGCACCCTTTCTCCTTCACAGTTCATACTGCACCCCGCGCCCACGAGGCTCGCACCGAGCTTCCAACCCTCCAGGCTCGCCAAAGACGCACAGCCCTCTCATCGACTGTAGATCTGTGGATCCGTGGATCCCTCGCGTGGCCATGGGTTCCTCGCAACATAATTGAAATGACCGTCTCACTGTATCCTTCAATCACGACTCAAGTACTCACGACTCATGGTTATCGGTTAGCGAGCTGGGCGACTATTGGCACTGACTGCGCCACCTCCACCTCCACTTCCATCGCGTTCCTACGAGACCTATGCGCCACGCCCTAAGGCTTAAGGATTTGAGTCTTTTTGTAGGGACCGACGATCCTTTAACGACATCGCGACCCTTACATATGTCGCCTTGAGCTTCTTGCATGATGGATTCCTTTTCCCGACGGACCCACCAACTACCAGTCTACCAGTGACGGCCAATGGCCATGATCCATCGACGAAGAGTGCTGTGGACGCGGATTTGAAAGCTGCGGAGGACGAGGGGGTTGGAGGACGCACAGCCCAAAAACCAAATTCTTTTCGGCGTCAGTGTTCCTACGAAATCCGCTGACGCTTCCCCTCCTCGAGCTCGCTCCACGGCTACCTTTGGCTTTCCCAATCCCTCCTTCCTCTCTAATCCTACCCAACCGCCTTCAATCTCGTCGGCGACCAATCCCGATCCCAGTCCAACAACAGACTTCGGCATTTCCTTTCACGTCCCACTCAGACCAGTACTAGTATACCAACCGTATTGGCACTGACTGTGCCACCTCCACTTCCATCGCGTTTCTACGAGATCTGGCAGTATGCGCCACGCCCTAAGGACTTACTAGGACGACGATCCTCCGACCCTTGCATATGTTCCCTTGAGCTTCTTGCATGATGGATTCCTTTTTCCGAGACCCACCAAGTACCAACAAATACTAGTAGCGAGCGAGCGAGAGAGGTGACCGTACCGCTGTCCTCGAGAAGACCGCTGTCGCGTTTTCGAGAGCTGCGGACCAAGGACATCCACCCCAGTCGTGGACCGCACAGCCCAAAAAAGCGAATTCTTTCAGCGTCAGCGTCGCGTTCCTATTACGAAACCCGCCGCGGCCGGCCCTTGCTTACTCCCATTCCTTCTACGCGCTTTCTCAACATCTTTGGGCGATGGCGTTTGCCTGCACAAATCCCAATGACATTCAAGCACCGTCAGTCTCGTCCAATCGATGGCTTTCGAAATTTCCTTTCGCGTCCCATCTCGAGGATCAACACCCAAATTCTGACTCGCCAGACCACAACCTCCAAAGGCGACTACACAGCCCATCTCAAGTACTCACCGTGGATCCCTCGCGTGGCCATGGCCATGGTCAATGGAAAATTACGCGTATGGACTCGGAAGTGGTTAGCACTGACTGCGCCACCCATCACGTTCCTATGAGGATCCCTCGACCCTCGACCCTTGCATGATGGATTCCTTTTTCTCTTTCCTCCCCTTCTCTCTGATAATTGATAATTGATGATTGATAATTGATTGCCAGAGTATAAGTACGGTCCGGTTCGGCTACCGACGCAAGAAGACGACGACGACATCGCGATGAACGAAGGCGTATTCGCGATCGAGGGAATTCGAAAGCTGCGGATTCCAATGCATTGTGCGACTATCGTTTTCGGACGACGGTGGGGTTGGACGACGCACAGCCCGGCCGCTAGCCTACCTGAATTCTTTCAGTGTCGAGTCGACTCCCATCGCGTTCCTACGAAACCCGTCCTCGATTCGATTCGATTGCAGTGACATGGCCGCCGACCCTTCCACTTCCTTTTACTCTCAGCGAGCTTCCAATTCTTGCTTCAATTCCCCGAATTCGTCCAATAACCTCCAACCTCACCCAATCCCACCAATCCAATCCCATACCGTCTTGCAATCGCTCTCCCACTCCAAATCGCCATCGCCCACCCTACCAGGCCCTACTTACGATCCCATACCATTTCCAAGCCAGGTCCCAACCGCCGCCTTACACATCCCAAAAACAAATTCACCGGCGTCCACCTAAACCCGGTCATCTAAGGATTAATCTCCCTCGTCCCTACAATAACCAGTCGGCCATCTACGCGAGGTCCCTTGCTCTGAAATAAGCCCTACGATGCTACGGTGCTACGCCTTCAGCCGCCGTGATGTCGATAACCAAGGCCGGATTTGGTTTGTGGGAGACGAGCTCGGGACGAAGATAGTGGTCAATGTCCATGACCAGTCCTTCAGAGACGGAGACGGGTTTTTGGCTGAAAGGAGGACGCGCTGATCATCTATGCGCATACAATTGACTCAAATCGAGAGTACCCGATAAGCACCGACATCGATAATCCTTCTTCAAGCCGGTTCAGGCCTTCAGATGACAGAAAGAAAGTCCCTCCCAACGAGCAAACGAGCACCGTAACTGCCAAAGGGCCGAAGCAAGCGAGGACGAGTGTGCAGGGACTACTTATCCAGCTGGTTGGCCGCTATGTACAGCTTACGCGAACTCCCCCCGGGTCCGACTGGGACGCATGTACAGAGCCTTACCCAAGTCCTACCACCGGGTTTCAAGCCCTCGAAACGCCCAATACTGATTCCTGGACCAGAACCCAGAACCCGGATGCCAGGTTCACTAGAATTACCAGAAAGAGGTTGTGAGCAACGTGCGCCTTCGGTGACAGCGTCGCGTGCATCGCCCTGCACATGCGTGCGTCCATAGGCGTCCTTGAAGTTCACGGCCGCAGTGAACCGCTGAACCGCTGTTGAAGAAACCGGAGCGGAGAAACCGGGTTCAGTTTAATACTTTCGGCGCTTCGTTGAACGTTCTCGTCGATGTTGAAGCGCACCGGTACTCGGGTACGTTTGGACCCGTAGAGTACTCTGGGCAGGGTTCACGATCAGTGGGCAGGGACCCGCACGCAGTGGACAGGGTTCGGTGAGAAGAATTCAAGCTTCAAGGGCAAGCAGGGTCCTCCCAATCGTGGGTTGTGCAGTGGATGTGCTTCACGGCGGTTGTCGCGTCGGTGAGTAGGTAAATGCGCGAAAGTCTAGACGCTGGACTGCTGACCGCCACCATATTTGCAGAAAAAACTTGAATCAGTCTTGGTGTAATATGCACCAAGTTTGCGAGCGTGAAGCTCATATCGTCGCTTGAAGCATGAAGCTTGCATGATGCCTGAGGACGCTGGAGGAAGATGCGCCGCAGAGAACTTGATGCCCGACTGGCGACGAATTCACTCAGAGCCCGAGCCTAGACGGGCACCCAAAGTCTGAAGCCAAACTCCTACACATGAGCGCCACCGTCCCTGGCAGATATTTGCCAAATTCGACCGTGCTCATTGGCCGTAAGGAGGCAGGAATATGTGTCGAGACAGAATGTGGCAGATGCCTACCACCCACCGACATCAACAGTGATTCAACACCGACACCAACCCCGCCAGGCCCGAACGGCAGGTCCCGACGCGTCTTTTTCACGTCTTTTAGACTTTTGGACCTCATCATTCCTTCCGTCCTTGGTCAACGCCGACAATCGAGGACTCGACCACTGCTTGTTCACAAGTTACAACTCAACACCCCCTCCGAATCAATATCCAACACTATAACTCAAGATTCAAGATTCAATGCTCGACCCCCACCCTTGGGACCAGACACGACTGCATGCGGTCCTCTCTAAGTCCCTGCCCTCCCCGCTAATGGTAGTAAAACGCCAGCCACTAAAAACTTAGCGTTTAACCGTGCGCGTTTGAAGGCCCGAATGGACTCTTGTGCCAGCCCAAGTTCGCGTTGCAAGTTGCAACTCCGACAGACTTGTCGATCGTTGACTACACCCCTTCTGGTGTTATTTCAATTCGCTCGTGTCGATTAGTGCTTTAGGTGCGTTGGGTATGTGCTTTGTGCAGAATGGGGCTGGGTGACTGAATCTGAATCCTCTTTACTGCATAGACGACAACGTTTTTTTTTGTGGCATGCTACAGTGGGCAATCCCCGGCGTCAACCAGTCGACCACCGTCCGCACCTCGCGCGTCAGGCCAGGCAACAAACTCAACACCATTCAGAACCTCAGACCCCCAGGCTGCAGATCCTTTCAGCCCCCAATTTTTAACCGTTAGCCTGTCCCAACCCCGAATAGCGCGCGATTAAACGAAGGGGCAATCATCAGACCGGCTTTCACCCTAGCTCTGGGCGCCTCGTCATGACTTGATCGCGTACGCCGTATGGCATGCAAAATGCAGTAGACCTAACTGGACGCGGGCAAGCGCGCGTCACTGCTCGGACATTGGATAATTGCGACTAGTTACGGCTAGGAATCGATATGTGACGAGGACCGACCACCGCACGAGGCGGGACGAAGAAAGAACGAGAATCGAAGATGCTGTCGTCGACACGAAGAGACAAGCATCGAAAAAGGAAGACAATCGAAACACGGGCAGAAAAGACCGTCAGTCTATCCGACATGAAAAGAAGTTTTCTGCACGCGCCTACAGTCAGTCAATTTTTCGTCGGTGTTCATCGTCCAACCATCGAACTGTTGCCGTACCAAGGGCACGGCGAGCACCACAAGTATGCACAATTATTGGCCGTCTCAATTGCTTTGAATTCAGTCTTCAATAAACCCTCCCTCCTCTCCGTACCTCGTCCTGCGCCACCACACCGACGTCACGGTCTGTAGGTATAGCCTACTCCTCCGGCTCTGTCCAGTGTCCTCCGATTTCTCCCCGATTCCTACCACCTTCCCCTCCTTTCCTTCTGGAGCTGGATCTTCTCAAGTTCTCCTTTTCTTCCCTTCCGAGCTTCGAGCCACGTTTTCGTAGGCCCGAAATCCTCGCATAGGCCTTAGAGGCCGTTCGAGGTCCCACATGTCCCGTGTTTCACGAACCAAGAATCCTCGGCAGGCCGCAACTTTCCTTCGAAGAACGGGCGGGCGTGTCTTCCCTAGCATGAGGCAGTTTGGGCGCTATAGCATGCGCGCCAACTTTCACATTCGATTGACAGCCATGCTTTCTCGGATTCACGCTCCATTGCTTACAGCACCGGAATTAACCTCAACATCTGCACCTAGTCTGTTCTGCGTGGAGTGGTAAGTGATTTTTTTCAGAACCTTATCGTATAATCCGATGCTTGGAGTGATATCAAGAACGCTAATTCATTTGTTGAATATCTTTAGATCTTGCAGTGTGCGTTAAACATCTGCCTTGCGCCCAGGGCTATAGAGTCAGGCGCTTGGCCGCGTCGAGTGGCCTTTTTTGCGCATGCACTTCGCAGAATACGATAAACATTGCATATACATCGAAGGCTGCAATTCACGTTCGACGCCTTCGGCCTCCTTCGAGGGATCGAGCTTCGTCCCAGTCCTAGCTCGAAGCTACGGACAACACGACGCTGTGGAGTTGCAAGATTAAATTCCAGCGGGGTCATGCGCTTGCAACCAGAAGACTTTCCTTCATTCGAAAAATTTGCCGTAAGTAATTTCTCCTTCTTGTACGGGCCCAGCATATTCCTTGGGCGGCGGGCACCCAGAATGGCGTGCCGACCGAGGTAACAGCGCTCCTCGAGCCTCGAACATATACGGCAACGTCAAAGTTTACTTGCCGCTTCGTCCTCGACATATGGCAGGTCAGACACAAGAACCAGGAATCAGCTGAGTCTGAGGATGCCGGCAATGACAAGCCTTGACGCCCGCCCACACCGATCTCACGATTCGCTAACGTCCCCACGCTAATGGCGCGCTTAACGTTACTCTCAAAGCGGCAAACGGGGCCCACCCACCTCCGAATTCCCGAACGCACGCCATCTGCACGCGTACCAGGCCCTCCCGCAGGACGACGATGCCGGAACGAACAGCGCGAGCCCTCGCATCGGCAGGCTCCTTCTGGCACAATGGCAAGCAGATTTCGAACACCATCCCGTCAGCTTCCGTTGGCGGTCGATGACGTTAATGTCAACGAAGGCGATCCCACTGCGGGAAGTTGGGAACGTGGAGCGGCAAGAAAAGACTTTGGAGGGCTGTGTCATGTCAGGACACGCTCGCCACTCCGGCCTGGTCGCGGCAAGGCACACCCCGCGTCCTGTCGAGGATCATGACGTCGAACACGGAGGTTGAAGCTGGGGATGGAAGCTCGAAGACGGGCGTGCTGCGCCGTGGTGGGCTTTGGCTTGGACGACACCCGACGGTTGGACCTGGGTGACGAGGCGGCTTCGAAGCCTGATCTACCAATACCCGCGCTGACGAGGAGACGTGAAACGTGGACGACTGATAGAGGGAATTCTTTTGGCTTACGGCTTTCGTCCGCTTACACCCTGCGCGGCGGCCCCGGGCGCTCAGCAGACGGTGTTATGGGTTCAAACTGGGTTCAACGCGTACCCAGCGCGTCATGTTCTGCTATCGGTATCTTGAACCTCTGCAGCAACCTGGTGGCGTACGAAGGCGCATGCCTCGACAACCTGGGTGCATGTGGTGCGCCCCCACCTCACTTCGACTTTCCTTCTGGATGCCCTTTGGAGACCTTCGTCTGCTAATCGTCGTGGCGCTCTTGGAAGCTGGAATCACGGCGATCTACAGGATCTACGAGCAATTTTACAACTGTGATGAGGATCTGCTTATTATTTGGGTGTATGTTTTTTTTTCAGACTTCAGTTACAGTGAAAATTCTATTGACGGCACTTATAAGCTCGTCTGGATCTATAGGTGTTGCACGCATTCGGAGGTATCCCCATCGCGCCTTATCGGCCGGGGTTCAGACTGGAGATCCGAGTCACCTTCAGAGGCAGGGCCTTCCTTCATCTCCTTCGCGACGGCGTTTTCAGCTTCACTTCAGGTGGTCAGAGTCAAGAGAGCAATTTGAGATGGCGAAGAGGAAGAATCTAGCCCACGGGATCAAGACTAAACGGATACTCGGCGCGGATTCGTCGATGGAAACGTATACGCTGCTGGTGAGGCCAATCTTTTTCAACGACTTAACCTTACCTGGTAAGTGTTTCAAGTGTTCTCTTGGGATCGACAGTTGGTGCTGACTGGGATTTGAATGTAAGATAGAGCATGAATAGACGGCGTTCAACTGTGCTCGCATAGGCCGCTGTGTACTGGGATCTTCGACGAGATGGATCAGGTCTCGGTGCCCTTCTTCGTCACCCTCGCGATTTACATCTACACAGAAAATACTGAGGGCGCCGTGTCAACTCGGAGGGAGGCTCCACGCGAAACTTCGCATCGGCGTCTGAGAGCAGGTCCTTATCCTCATTCCTGAGGCTTTCCGAAGGAATCCGGGCGTGATTCAATGGCTACAATGGCGAAACGCAAAGTTGTCCGAAGGTGGGTTTCACGGGCGTATTCAATGGCTATCTTGGACTCAATGTATAAGCCGTATAGACTACGGGATGAATAGGCGAGCTCAATTGTTTTCGCGTGGCCATGGATCATTATCGACTTCGTCATCGCGGTCTCTTCCTCGTCAACTGCGCCGATGATTGGGTAGGTGTGTAAACTCGGAAAGCCCTCCCTGCATGTCTGACGTCCCTCCAGAGCATTACCCTGCCTCGCGCGACGACCGCATCACGAGGACCAGGGGTCTGGAGGCGTCGTCGAATTCGAACCCGCCCACGAACTTCGCGGAGGAAGGCCATAGGTGTTGGTCTCGATGACGTTCAACGATCTGTTTCCCTGAGCCCTTGTAAGGTGTTCGTCGCTTAAGGCGGAACCCCGCCATGGTGTTGTTCTGTTCAGGTATCCAATGGCAGAGCTAGGCTAAACAATTTAAAACTTTACTAAATATAGTGACCGACGCAAGCCTACCCAACCACGCGTCTCAAAACTCTATTTGCTGCACCATCGACGAGTTGGGTCTCGAAGAAATCGAGGGTGATAAAATGTACGGCCAACTATTGGCTAAACGGCTTTTCACCCGAGACGAGCGCGATGAGACAGACCCTACAGGATCACGGTATATCTACGGCCCTATTTCTACGCTTTATCGAAGTCCGAATGAATAGAATGATTAAGCAAGAGGTCGGCGCGTGAGCGTGCAAACCATACCTAGGCTATGCAATCTTGGTTGGGACGGGCCACATTACAACCAAACAGCTCTAATGTGTCTGCTGAAGCAGTGCAAGTATAGGCGAATCTTTCCCGCTTGCTCCCACTAAGCCAACGAATGTATTAATAAAATACATACGCAGCAGGTGTACCCGTCGCGCAGCGCACCGCATTCACCTTGTCTTTCCCCCGACTGTCTGGACGGCTCACTCCCAGTTACGATTCCTTTCTTTCAACAATCGTTCCAATAGCGCTAAAGGATCATTATAGGTACGTTCCGGGGTTCTCCCGACTTGGAAGGCAACCTTACCTGAGCGCAGCAGCCCGCGCCAGCCCTTGACACGAGCCCGACAGCACGCACTACATTGAATACTTACCTGAGGCTGCAGGAAGCTATACAACGACGGCCAACATTGTGGGTGTCTGAATACTCCATATCGAAACGAAAATAGCCGATGATCGCTGAAGAAAGGCTATTTGACATCGGTCCGCGCCACATATCCGGGGACAAAGAGGAAGAAATTTTGGACGAGGCTGTTCGAAACGTTTGTCTGAGGGCAATTGCAGGGAGAGGTGCTTTCCTCATATGTGCATCTACTAGTCCAGGCTTCAGACCATGTTTCCAGTCTGCTACATTAGTTTCTGTGCTTTTTGGGCTTAGCGGAAACGTCCGGTCTTCCTTTTTTTGCATCTGCCTATCCACTCGTGGAGTGCTTGAAAGAAGATGGCCCCATTCCTTCCCGATGGTCGAGCCTAATCATCGACTGCGTCTCGCCAGTAACCAGAGCTTTTTATCCCAGCTTTGGACTACTAGGTATGTGTTCTTTTCTTGGTCGCCCGTCTAATTTTTTCCTTTGAATTGGAGAACGCATTTCCCTCTTCGTTGGCTATAGGACGCGGACATTCGATTTGATGCCCTCCGCGACGTCTCTGAGAGACGGATACTACTACGGATGAAGATGCAGTTATACGTGAGAGGTCTCGAGCTAGTCCGGTGGGTCTTCGACCAGCTTCTCACTATACCCGGACACACATTTTGCGAAGAAAAACACGGCGTTATTTGCTAGATCTCCATCGGTGGCGTTTCTCGCAAGCGGAAGATCATTTATAGCACGGACGCCGTCGTGCTTGCCTCGCACAGGCCTCGTTGGCATTGGAAGTGGGGTAGATAGCCCATGCTATTTCGAGGCTGCCGTTATTCCTCTTCGGAATTTTTTCTCTGCGAATATCGGTATCGATTGCTCGTCACCTCGTTTGGGGGATCGTGCATGCTATACATTCTTCTTTACCATGCTCGTTCACCGGTATTCTACGGAACTGGGGTTCTAACTGTCTGAGTAGTCAGAACTTCCCAACTTGCCCGAGGGTCTCGTCCGCCGCCGCGATAAAACTGTTGTTAAAGTATAAGGAGATCGTAGGGCTGATTTTTTTGGCGCATGGACAGGTATTTATCCCCGCTGTAGGGACCGTTTGCTTTTGGGATGCTATGTATTTCAGCGTACCAGATCACCACATTGAAGACCATGATGTGACGTCAATCCTTCCGGCATTCCTTTTCCTCACCATGAGGATCATATCCTGATTGGCGAAACCTGGTCCTCGTTTTAGGGACTTTCCCGCTCATGAGGCGTTGCTAGGACGTCAGTCAATAAGCTAAATCACAGGACGTCATAGTTGGTTCTTAGCAGGTTTGTCATTGATAACTGGTACGTTGCCCTCGTCTATTCGCCAAAACCATCATTCAGAACCTCATTATTGGGGGCGCCCATGGCTCACCACCTGCTAACTCGGCTGCAATGGTGAGCTGTCAAGGACTGAACACACCTGTTCCAACTGCTATGCACCCGATTGATATTGTAGCCTCGTTGAGTCCAGTCCTCTCATAATTCACGGAGACCTGGCCGTAGATTTGTTATGATAGGCTTCTATCGCGAGCCCTGGCACGTTTCAACGATCCTTGGACATGCCAACTAGGCATCTAGCGACCAAAGCGAGGGCTCGGTGCTATGTTTCCCATGGCATCTTTCAGTTATTCTCATACAATGATATATACTTGGTGCGAGTCTTGCTCATCGGGTTTGATAAACATTAATTTCAACGACCAGAGGTACCAATCCCCCCATTTTGACGGAAACAGTTCGCTCTTTGCTAGCATGTCGCGTTTCGCGGAAAGGCGCCAGAGCCTCGAGGTGTGTCAATGAGCTTTGTCATACCGGCGCTTAATCAGTAATGTGGTATGTTTCCATATAGCTCCGCAGCTTCACTGCATGGAAATCGCACTCCTAGGTTTCAGTGATTGAGGTATACCCATTAGCAAAGTTTACCTTGGTCTCCTCGCCTCAGTGCAAAGCAAGCGGCTCGGGTTTCATGTTACCTCTTCTTCGTTTTGGCATTACCGGAGTCACGGTATCTGTCATGTCGCATAGCTTCAGAACTGCATAGCTTTCGATCTAATGGCTCACATTATGCTTGCAGACCTTTTTTTATATTCTCATGTCAATCATGTCTGCGAAATTCCATCGACGGGAATACATACGTGCCCACATCAGTGTCTTAAGGCAACTAGGGACCTCCATCTTGAGAATCGCTGGTTCCCGGTTGCTTCACTGCACCACTCAGGAAAATGCCGAATGACACTTGGATACAGCGCTCTTCCATCTGGGATCATCCTCGTTGCAAGTACGCTGTCTCCAGAACAAAGCTCTCTGATTTGAAGCAACGCAATTCGCTATGATTAGATTCGTCGGCAAGTTCCTTGTACTTGACGAAAAAAATGTGACTTCTTAGTTTAGCCGCCGCCCGGGATGGTGGCTATTGCTCTGCAACGACTCTAGGAAGAAGTGGTAACATTCAGCGTACGAGTCATAGTGATTACTCAGGCGGTCGAATATCTACGACTTCCCTTATATGATATTCAATCATTCGAGCACTAAGTTGTGGGTCCCACATGTGCTCCCACGCTTTCTTGAAGTAGAAAAAAGGGCAACACCCTTCCACCTAAAAGAGTACTCTTTTCAAAAACATACCCTGCAGTTTTATAAGAGGCGAAAGAGGCGAGAACGCGGATAGTTGTGCCAATGGGCATCTATCAATTAAAACCAAATAACAATGTGTCCGATGAATACGGCGATCCAAGTGAAACCTCTATGCAGAATGAAACGGCCAGCGGCCAGAGTCTATGTTTAGGACACTGGGATGGAGCTTCCATGCCTATGCTACTTCCATGATAACTACTCTGTGTATGCCATGATATGAGCATCTCGTGCCACGCAACACGGACACGCACGAGAGGTTGACGCCCTTACTACTGAACTACCAAATCGTATAGTAATCGTTCTCAGGCAGGCCAAGATGACATGCACGCTTGCTCTCTTGGCTTCCTCCATATCGTATTGAGTATGAAGGCCGGATTGGGGAAAAATTCTCCCGTAATTTTATACACATGGAATACGACTTAATACACAAAATTTCAGATTGAACACACACAGAGTATGGGGTGAATACACATGCAATGCAGTTTAACACACACATAACGGAGTTTGACACACACGGAGACTAAAGTCATACAAAGATGGTCCGTTTCAACACACACAAATTGTTATTTTACACACATGCACGGAATTTTACACACAGAGAGCGCTCGCCGACACGCACAGAGGCGCTCATGGTTTGACACACAGGAATCTCGGCAGTTTTGGCGATCAGCGGAGCTTAAATAGCTCGGCGTTCTCGGCTGGCCTTCTTTGGGCGCCTAAGGCGAGTCCCCCTTGGCCCGCGTCCCCAATACTCCTCGCCCAATTTTATTACCTAAATAAGCTATATTACTCTTCAATTTAAGTTTACAAGCCCCTTCTACCCTTCAATCTCAACATCAGCACTTCTACTCCCTTTACTCGCGTGAAATGTGCCTACAAAGGACTCCGGGGTGAGGCGCACGAGGGCAAGCTAATAGTCAAAGAAACCTTGTGAATTAATTTATTTGGCAATAACTTGAGCAAGATATTAACCACTTGAAATGAAGTTCTAGGGAGTTTCAGAATGCCCCGTCTAGGGTATTAGGGACGCGGGCCAAGGGGGACTCGCCTTAGGCGCCCAAAGAAGGCCAGCCGAGAACGCCGAGCTATTTAAGCTCCGCTGATCGCCAAAACTGCCGAGATTCCTGTGTGTCAAACCATGAGCGCCTCTGTGCGTGTCGGCGAGCGCTTTCTGTGTGTAAAATTCCGTGCATGTGTGTAAAATAACAATTTGTGTGTGTTGAAACGGACCATCTGTGTATGACTTTAGTCTCCGTGTGTGTCAAACTCCGTTGTGTGTGTGTTAAACTGCATTGCATGTGTATTCACCCCATACTCTGTGTGTGTTCAATCTGAAATTTTGTGTATTAAGTCGTATTCCATGTGTATAAAATTACGGGAGAATTTTTCCCCAATCCGGCCTTCATAATTGAGGGATCGGTCTCGACAGTTGGCTTCAAACATCCTTACGATCCGTCCGCACAATTCAGAGCATATTGCCTTCAGGATACGAGTCTGACGGTTAGCTTCACAACTTGATCCATCCTCTTTCAGCTTGGTCTCTTCACATCAGTTAGAAATTTGCGGTGACGAGACAGTCTATGAAAGCTTAAAGCTGATACTTTTGGATATACATATCGTTACTGAGCCTCTCCAGATCAAAACGAGGCAGCCAGCTGCCCGACCATCAGTAGCACCTGTAAAACATAATCCACTCTGAATGAACAGCAGATCTTGGCTGGTGTCATCCTCAAGACAGATAATTTAGCATCAGCCCTGTTTTTAAAAATTAAACATTTGCAAGTGGATACTAATAGGCATCCAGGGCAATGGACTTTTTAACATCCTCCATGTCTGTTGCCTACAGGTGCATGCAATTAATCTCCGTCCAGGGTCACCTCATGATGCCTTTTGAGTTCTTTTAACTCCACCTTTCATTGGAA